ATAGAAATTAAATTAGCACAAAAAATAAATTTTTACTGTCTTGGAAAATAAGCAATAAGAAGTCTTTGTTTATAAAGAGTCAATTATTCTGAATATATTTGATGGCTTTCTGATGAAGTTGTAAAGTGAATAAAACCCAAAGCACTCTAGATTCAACACCATGATGATAATAAAACACTTGATGAAGCCCCATGAGTCCTCCCCACTATATTAATTTAAGATGGCTTAAATAACAGTGTTAGCTGGGACTTTGCAACTGAAGGGAAAACAGAAGAAAATTTTTGAGAAAAAGGTACAAATTGGTAAAAAACTATAAGACTTGGAGGCAAGACCAAGGGAATCCCAAAGATTTAAGAGTGGATATATACCAAGGTACTAATTAACATTTTCTGAGTGCCTGAATTTTAATTTACAGAAAATATGACAGTGTAGATAACAACAACAAAAGGATGTGAGATTTTAGAAAATAAGAGTTACATAGAGAAAATTTAAATATCTGATGAATGTTGAATTCAAATTTTAGCAGATGTCTATAAAGTGGGAGCAATATTTCAGAAACCATGAGTATGGCCTGAAGTGGCCAAGACAAGAAAAGGAAAGTCATTAGGAGAAATCTATTTAAAGGTTTGATACAATATAATAATAGAGAATCGTGATGCTCACTGAAATTATTATTACTGCTGTGAAAATACTAACAAGGAATGCAATAGAAAAGGCAAAGGTCAACCTGATTTTTATACCTTTATTTTTTATTATTTTATATATTTTTAACATCATTTTTTTTATTTTTGTATAATGTATGCATTTTCATCTTGGTTATAGTCCCCGAAAAATTTCCACCACCCATTCATCCATGAACTATCACCATGGTCCCTTGTGTTCTTCCCACCCTTGTTTTGATCCTACTCCCTTCTCTCTCCCCACCCCATAGTATGTCTCTGATTAATAGTTGCCTGTTGATTTTGATTTTTACTTCATTATAATTAGTTTTTCTTCCTGATTCTTTATTTGGATCCTCGATATTCCTGCTATAAGTGAGACATCCAGTAGTTTTCTTTTTGTTTCTGGCTTATTTCATTTAACAAAGCTTTATTTTAAATTGTACTTTCTGCTGTACAGGCCTCATTCACCCTTCAGATTACATCCCACCCAGTTGAGGAAAATTAGCAGAAACAAGATATTTTCCCTAGTGGTCAAAAAATATTCAAAGATTCAATAGTTTCTATTAAGGGCTACTTCTGGCTTTATCTGTCCTCCCCATCGAGCGGTTTCCCTTGACCTAAGCTCTCTGAGTCAAAAGTTCTCCCTTAAAGAGCCTCTGAATGGGAGAATCCAAATCATGCCTTAGGTGGTCTAGGTTCCTTTAATCACAAATAAGTTTACTGATTTTCAGTTGTTAAGCCATAGAATGGGGGTATTCTGGTATTTGCAGGCCAGTGGTCATGAACATATCTCAACTGGAAACCAATACCCACTTTCTTTCTACAGATACAAGTATCTTAAATTGCAAGAAACTTAGATGCTGATGGTTTTCATGTCTGGCACTGAGTGTCCACCAGTTTGTGTCAGTTATTCTTTCCTCAAATCCTCAAAGTTAGTAAATATAAAACTGGGGAAGGTTATATAAAAAGTACATGTCCTTGGTTTATAGTTGCCTGCTGATTTTGATTTTTACTTTATTAGAATTAGTCTTTTTCCTGGTCCCTTATTTAGGTTTTCTAGATTCCTGCTATGAGTGAGACCATCCAGTATTTTTCTTTTTCTTTCTGGCTTATTTCACTGAGCATGATCCCTTCCAGCTCCATCCATGTTGCTGCAAATTGCATGAGTTTATCTTTTTTGATTGCCGAGTAATATTCCATGGTGTATATGCACCACATGCTGGGGGGGGTAGGGAGGGGGGGAAAAGGGAGCAGGATCAAAAAAGGGGGGATGGGAATTGTATGGGGACTATAACCAAGATGAAAATGCTACATTGTGCAAAAATGAAAAATGATGTAAAAAATATATAAAATAAAATAAAAATTATAATTAAAAAATACAAGTCCTTTAGCTACCCTCATGTGATCAAAAACTATGACTGTCCTTAACATTTCTCAAGATATTAATGATGCTTTCTACATCCAAGTCTATACTTTGGCATCTCTTTAAAATTATAGACTTTCAGATATGGAGAGTAACTAATCTGATCACCTTCTTTAACAGAGAAAGAAAGAGAGGCTTTGAGAGGTGCAATGGTTTGGCACAAGTTACATAGCCAGTTACAACACAGCTTATAATAGAGTTCTTTTTTTTTAAGATTTATTTATTTATTTGAGTTCTTAACAAGTGGATTCCATGTTAGTCCTTGAAATATCCTGCTACCATTTTTTTCTCTTGTTCGTCTTGTTCTAAATTTACCCTTGGCATCTGAACAAGGAATTTACAAATAGTTGTCTAAAAGAAGCAATGTGTAATGCACATGAAAACATATTTATATTTTTAAGAAATTCAATGTATCAATACATTTCTTTATCTTACTACATTGTTATGCATTAGAAATTTAACATTTGCATTACCAAAAATTCAATTTTTATTTGCTCTGCTGTTCTGAAAATATTATGATGCACCATGTTCTATGTAAATAACTAAAATAGTTTCTTTTAATCAGTCATCTCAGCTTTATTTAGCGTCAACCCAATTTTACATGGTTTTAATTATTTAAAATGCAGATACATAAGATTCAACATTTACTAGCATTTAATCTTCAGAATTTATTTAGAAAATGAAGTATTGCTCTGTGGTTTCAGAAAAAAATTAATAAATATATCTGAATAGATGGTAATTTCATGTTCATTTTCAAAGAGATTTAGCTACATTAGCAACGCTATTTCCCAACACCCATAATCTTCTAAATTGACTTATTTGATGCTCTTCAGATATATTTTTCTAAAGACTCAGATTTTTATCTCTGCTACTGCTTTTGAAATGTTTTCCATAGTTGTGAATGCATCTAAAATAATTTTCACATTTGGTGCCATTTTTCTCAAATGACAATATTGGATTGGGCAGGAAGACCATTTGGAATTTCTTCATATCAAGCTAGTACTTTGTTTCAAAATTTGGATGAAATGTAAGAAAAAGGGAGAGAGGAAGAATTGAAGCATTCTGAGTAAGAACGCTTTGTGTTAAAATTGAACAAATGTACCATGAGGGGTAAGTTGTAGAGCAAGAAAGGATGATTAAAAAAATCTTGGCAGAATGGAGCATTTGAGTAGTAAGAACTAAGCAACCCAGTGCAGTTCTATGCCTTTTTATTAGCAATTTCTCAGAAGTGATGTCTTTTCTCTGACCCCTTTCATCTATAATCTATGTCCTAGCATCTTCCCAGCACCTCACTTAGGTTTTCTTAAAGAGCTAGTAGTAGTAGTAGCAGAAGCAGGAGCACCAGTAGCAGCAGCAATGATAATTGTATGAAGATTTCTTATTCTTTAATTAAAATAAAAATGTTTAAATGCCTACATTTTTATTTGGAAATACTTGATAGTGTTCTGGGGAAGCTATGTCAGCAACCATCTGCTCCAAAGAAATGTGGCCCTTGGCATTAAGTGTGTGCCCACTTATGCCACTCATGTTTTTCTAGTGTAAATCTGTATTAATGCTACATATATTACATATATGTAGACATGTGTAATATATAAATTCTCTCTCTCTCTCTCTCTCTCTCTCTCTCTCTCTCTCTCTCTCTGCCTCCTCTGACTGTATTGCATACACTTAAGCCTCTAGGAAGAAGGTTTCGTATTTCTTATCCAAGTAAGACAGGTTCCTGGAATCTGGAATTAAATGGTAATCTAAATCGATGAACATATTCTGTAAACCACAAATATTTAAGTTGTTTTTGAGCTATCTTCTTTTTTTCATTCCGTTGCATATATTGTGTGCTTGCTTCTTCTTATTCTGGCAGGAAAATTCAGTCGTCAGCAGTTAGTACAGTGTAAGTGCACGTTTCTTATTTGAGTAACTTAGTTGACCCCTCTGCCACTTGGCCTTAATTCACCCCCAGTTGAGGGTGCGCAACTGGAGTTGCCTGGAACCGGTAAAGACACCTTTCCCAAAGCGCACCTTTGCTGTCCTTGTGCAGCCCAACGCCCCCAAATCTTGAGTATGCACTTCCAGGCATATCAATCCCGGTCGATTCCCCAGAAGTCAGTCTCTGGAGCAGCAGCCCAGACTCCCGGCGGCGGCTCTTCTAATGGCAATTGCTAATAGGAATGAGCCTGATCTCCTACCAGGCTTTCCAGTTGCTTAGTTCCAGACCTGCCCCGTGCTAACAATAAAAACGAAGAGAAAGCCTGTTCCTGAACTCCCGACCCTAGCAGGCTGCTTTCCCCCCAACCCTCCTCTTGCTAGCCAGGGGGCAAGCCTCCTTTGGGGATTTGCCCAAAGTGGCAAAAGAAGGGTTAATATTTGCTTTCTTATTGAGAGGAGAGGCAAGTAAGCGTTGAGTGTGCGTGTGTGTGTGTGTGTGTGTGTGTGTGTGTGTGTGTGTGAGAGAGAGAGAGAGAGAGAGAGAGAGAGTTGTTTTTGCAGAGGAAAATAAGCAGGGAAGAGGAATGGGGAGAGGCCGGTGCCCCGGCTCCCTCGGGGCCTCAGAGAGCGGCACACATCGTAATTCCCTTTCCAGAGCCTTACAGATTTCCACAAACAATGACATCACTCCGTCTCCTCCGACCAGATTACAGCTGGGGGGATTTTCCGGGGAGCGCGGCGGCCAGGGTGGGGAGATGGAGGCGCTCTCCAGGGTACTGAAAGGAACGGGCGTGCGGGTTCGCCGCGCGGCGCCCCGCGGGCGGAGGCGGACCGGACCGGCCGGGGCGGGCAGGGGCGGGCCTGGGGCGGCCCAGGGCGGAGCCCGCCGCTTCTTTGGTCTTCATTGGTCACTGACAGACGCACGTCATCCGGGCTGGAGCTCTCCTCCGGCCCCCGTGGAATTGGAGCTGAGGAGGAGCTGAAAATGCAGATTTAGCATCAAGCAGAGACATACACTCACTCTTTCTCTCAGATACACACAGCTCCCCACATTCGCACCCTTTGCAAGGAGCCGCCTAACTACACGGCTTCTCAGCCAGCCAGATGCTAGAGGAGAACACATTAATTTGCTGTTATCCAAGCTCCTAATCAGTCTCTTTCTCTGCACATTTTTTTTTCAACAAACAAACAACAACAACAAAAAACTACATATATATATATAATTTTTTTTTATTTGGACCTTCCCTCCTGGTACCCTACTCCGCCAGCCTGCGCGTCTCCTAGCTCCACTTTTCACTCCCAAAGAAAGATGAAAGGTGGCCGTGTCTCCCACTGTAAGGCAAGCGCCTGCCTTATTTTCTGTGTCATGGTTTTTGCATCTGCCGAGAGACCGGTCTTCACGAATCATTTTCTTGTGGAGTTGCATAAAGGAGGAGACGAAGAAGCTCGCCAAGTTGCAGCAGAACATGGATTTGGAGTCCGAAAGGTAAGGTCTCCCTTGCATTTCGCATGTTGTTTCAAAACGGGGGCAGCCCTGCGCAATCTCATTGCAGATTTGCAAGTTTTCTCTTTCTAATGCGATGCAGATAATCTGCCATCAGCTCTTTAACACGACATTGCCTCCGGTGATCTTTCACGGGTTATGTAATTAAAATGTCCTTCAAATTGTCCCAGTAAGGTCATAAAAATAATTTATAGCTCTTTGACTTGGTGGTGAAAATAAGATAACACCTTTCAAACAGTTCCATGCGCCCAGGTTGCTGTCCGAGGTACCAAGTTCTCGAGGCGGTCTGTGGATGGAGGGATGAAGCGCTGAACGTGGAGGCTTGGCGCTGGTTGTCTTGTCAGGGACGTATCCTCCGCCCCCGTCGCCCAGAGAAAGAGTAGTTTCTGACGGACAGGACCAGAAGCTTGGATATTGCAATTCACCTCCCCGCCTTTGGGACCCTGCGCCGGGAGGACTTTGCTCCCTGCGACTTTGGTCCTCCTCTTTCGAGGAACAACAGCTCCCTGGTTCCAGAAGACTGAGACATGAACTGATTTCTTTTCCAAAATCCGGGCGGAACTTCTCGCCCTCGCCCCTGCCCACGACCGCCTACCCCTGAAACTTACCACTGATTAGCTCTCTGGTTCTTAACTCACAGCTACAGAAGGTGGAGAGGTCGATTTTGAGGGGAGTTCCCTACGGAGACGTAGGGATGTCTCTCCTGGCATGTGGGCGGGTAGCTTGGCTTTCCCAGGAGGACGAGGGGATCCCCATTCCGAGAAGTTGTCAGAGTTCAACTGTTTGGGCGGCTGGGTGAAACTCACAATGTGAGATGCCTCGGGACTCCTTTGCGGACTCCAGGGTACCTAGTCTTGAGGGCATAGGAGCGGAGAACGCTGGGGGCCGGCATTGACCTACTTGCTCTTCTTGCAAAATATCTTGCCAGAAATTGCAAGTGTCCTTAGGGGACTTGCCAAGGATGCAAAGTGGGTGTAAGGAGAAGCCTGGGGGGAGGGAAACCTGGAGTATTTAGGAATGCAATTCAACTACCTGAGGGTCGGGCGGTGGTCTGTGGATTTCCGTGCCACACACCCCACTTCCTTATCCCAAGAGGGGAGAGATTTGAGACATCGGTGGGTGCATCGGGTTGTTGCTTTTGCCTCTCAAGGACAGCGCGAACTGGGACTCCTATCAGTCCCTTCTGTCGCGACTTCCCACGCGTCCCGCCTCCCGCCTCCCTCTTAGTAGTCGCGAGGGCTCCTTCCTATGCGGCTGGCTCCCCCGCCTCCAGACCTTGTGGGCAGCAGCCAGGAATTTCGACCCCAGGTGGATTTGACAGAGGTCTGGGAGGAGGCGCTAGGTCTGCCAGGGGTGCGCGGGAGGGTCTTAAAGAAAGGAACTTGTTGCTCCGGGAAGTATGGGTGGAGCAGGGGGGGAGAAGACGTCAGAAGAGGTAGCAGCCCGCTGTGCTACTGGCCCAGAACCTTAGGGCTGTTTCAAGAGCACCGTGAGTTTAGTGAATAAGCAGACCCTTCTTCCTTCCCACCCGCTAAACTTAGCAAAATCCAGCATCCAGAGGCCATAACTGTAATAGTGGTAGTGATTAATGTACCCTTAAAAACGGCTGGGGTCCTCATATGCATTCTTATTTAATTTTCTCAACAACTTTGAGGAGGATACTACTGTTATTATATGTTACTGATAAGAAAATTGGCTCAGATAAGAATTCAAGGGGAAAAAAAATACTGGGGATTTACATGCAAATCTTTCAGAGATGAACTTAAACTCTATGCTCATTGGTACATACTAAAACAAGCTGGGCATTCTGTTGTCAGTTCAACTATTTGGCAGTTCAACTATTTGGCAGGGTATATTGGATTGGGGGGTTATGCTGAAAAGGGGTGTGGCATCAAGTTCTTCAGTTCTTGAATGTGAAAAGTCCAAAACTGGTGCAGAGATACCTGTTATTCTCTCTCCAGACCATGCAATTTTTCACAGAGTAGGCAGTCATTACTCTCTCATCTTTGCTTCCCCTTTTGAAACATGCCCTTAGGATCTGATTTTAGAAACTTAATTAAATCTAAGTGTAGCTGAAACTGGCTTAAACCTAACAATAATTCTCAAAGGGGGGTTTTGTTTGTTTTTGCTTCTGTAAAGAGGTAAATTGTTTAATGAGGAATTTACACTTTTGATGGTGAAATTTCAGCAAGGAGATGTAGAAACAATCAGTTCATATGTGAAACTGAATTATCTCCATATACTTACCTTAATGTCTCATACTTTGGGGTGAGATCAAATACCAAAGACTTTTTCTTCCACCCCCCCCTCCTTTTTTTGGAGAGGAATCTACTGGTTTTGCATCAGAACCTCAAATCTGCAATTCCTGTCTAGAAGAAATGGACTTATACCTTGCTGCCTCTCTTCTTGCCTCCCCTTTACCTCTCAGAGGTAGCATCTTTTAAAACCAAAAGAGGTTATATTGTTACAGGGCAGGGATTGGGTAGCCCAGACCCCGCAAACCTCCCATGGGGCTGACTAACCACTGATGGCTCTGTCCTAAATCACATTGGGCACCAAATCTGTTACAGGGCAGGGAGAGGGGCAGCCCAGCCCAGACCCCACAAACCTGCCTGCTTTAAATAGGTTCTGCCATCTGCCACATCAACACAAAACATATGAGACTTTAGTGGGAAGGAACTTTAATACAATTAGGAAACAATACAGGAAATACAAAGAATATAGCTTCTAAATCAAGCACCCAAAGTTACCCGTCCCCTTGTGAGTAAAAGTCCACCCAAGCAGGATTGGCCCAGAGCAAGGCCCCAAAGCCTGCTACAAGTCTAAAGCATCTTCCAGTGGGCACCACAGAAAAGGATCAGAAACAACCAGACAAGTCTGAGAGGAAAAGAGCAAAATCAAAATCAAGACAAAAACCGCCATTGTCACCTCCCCACGGGTCTCACCCACATCTGTGTCACCCAGTCCACGACCAAAAGGCAAGCGCAGTTTCTTCACGTGTCTCTTGTCCCCATGTGCCTCCTCCAGGGCTCCTTCTGGCTCTCCATCCTGCTTCCCTCCTTCCTCAGTCTCCTCTGCAGTCTCTTCTTCTCTTCCTTGCTCAGCTCCACCCTCCTTTTGGGTGGAGCAGGAAACCTGGAACCTCCCCCTTTCCTGGGGACCACTCTATTACAATATATTTAAGTAAAATTCAGTCAATAGTGAGATGCTTCTGTTTGATGAACCTTTGCATTATGCTACACCTGTCTAGAAAAAAACCCTGTTTCCCTCCCTTGGATCCATGTCCCATCTATCCTTCAAGACTGAACTATAAACCTCCCCCCATGTTATGGACCACAATGAATTTTCCCTTCTCCAAATTCCAGTGGAGAAAAAAGGCACAGTCTTCATGTTATAAGCTAATATGTTTCGGGCCTCCCCTGGTGGCGCAGCGGTTGAGCACTGGGCTGTGAGGCTGCCCGCAGCCTCGGCAGCGCCGGTTCGATCCCCAGCCGCTGGGAGGGTCCCACATGGCGTGCAGACCTCTCCTGCTGTGCCCGCTGCTCCCCTCAGCAGTGTATTTCGTCAGTCTGCCTGTTCTGTTCCCTGCTCTGGCTCTGGTGAATTCTCTCACCCTCCCACACTTCTGACTGTACCCAGTACTTGTATAAATAAATAAATAAATCTTAAAAAAAAAAAATAAGCTAATATGTTTCACCACTTGTACTCAAGATATTTTATATATGGAAGATGGGTGTAATTATTGTCTTTCTATTTAAAAGGTAAATATTCAGGGATGATATAATCTGTATAGCTGGTCTCCTCATCATTGCCAGCCTGTGATGGGGCTTGCCAAATTTTTAGGGAATGTCCTTTGTTGTATTTATTATTCCAGGTTTCCCAAACATTGTCCTGTTTTGTTTTTTATTCTGCTATACTGTACTTTTGCCAACATGTGTTATTTGTTGGGTTTTGTTTTTTTTTTTTTTTTCATTTTAAACTCCCAAAGTTTCCTTTTCCTTCCACACTCTAGCATTTAGTATTCCTCCCAGCTCCCTGCCACCCTAACCTCCCTGGTGTACAGTGTCAGATACCCAAGATTCTCAATAATTAACCACCCAAAGGAGGGTCAGTTTTTCAGACTAGAGGAACCAATTGTTTTACTAAATTATCTCATTTTAACTTTGTAAAACTGAGGTAAAAAAAACTGGCATCAACCTTATTTCTCAGAAAAGAAACTTAAAACTTCCAAGAGGCTAAATATCTGCTCTTATCAAAATGAAAAACATATTTAAAACCAATTTGCTTTACCAAAAATAATTGTTTCTTTTTCTGTCATGCCATCTACAGGAAGCCTTCCTTGACTGCCAAAAACTCTGCCCTTGGGGCACCATTCTAAAACTGCAGCATTTTTCCTTTTCTTTTTTCTCTTCTCTTCTCTTCTCTTCTCTTCTCTTCTCTTCTCTTCTCTTCTCTTCTCTTCTCTTCTCTTCTCTTCTCTTCTCTTCTCTTTCTTTCTTTCTTTCTTTCTTTCTTTCTTTCTTTCTCTCTCTTCTCTCTCTCTCTCTCTCTCTCTCTCTCTCTCTCTCTCTCTCTCTCTCTCTTTCTTTCTCTTTCTGCTTTTTTCAGTATCTAACATTAATTTGGGATTTATGTATGAAGCTTTATCATTGTCTAATGTATATGACTAGTACTTCTTTTGGAGGACTACAAATCTCCCAAGAAGAAAAACAATATACTATCCTTTATTATAGTTCCTATATGCAGTATGGTAATCTGTATGCTGAGACTAAGGTCTTTTATTTTATCATGATCATATTAAAGATGCATGATTATCAAAGAAGTGATTATATCTAGGAATATGAGGGAGTTTACAATAATAACAAAGGTGTTTTTCCAAAAAGTGTCTTAAAATTCTCAATACACTACTAATTTGAATTCCCTTAAAGAAGAAAACAAAAATTTTGTTGAAGCATTGTACTGAGGGTTAGCCAAAAACCAAG